TCTCTCATGAATAAATAAATAAAATCTTTAAAAAATTTTTTAAAAAATTAAAAAATAATGTAATGATGTGGGAAAAGTTGTTGAGTCATTGTTAGGGAAAATGCTTCAAATCTTCACATTGTTTCTAGAAGTTTGATTTAAAGGCTTTCAGTTAGGTACAAATTCTGTATAAGGCATGGAAAACAGACCTCACCTTCTGTGTCAGTGCTCACCATTTATTAGCGGCTGCCTGAAAATTGTGTTGAAAAGGATTCTTAACTCAGAAGAAGGGAGTGCTGGGACCTAGTAGCGATGTCTGCTGTAGAGATGTCTGCCAAGGGAGCCAAACAGAACAGTAGTGGAATGTGCCCCTGCATCATTGCCGTCCCTGCTCTGAGTTTGTCAGCCTGGAGTAGCTTTAGGAAGGCAGGTCTCTTAGCCAAAGGAAACCTAAAAAGGTAGTTGATTCTGGGGCCCCCAAAGAGACTGTATCTTACTGTAGGCATAATCTGGAAAATTTCGACTCATAAACTCTGGAGATGGCCTAGAGTTTACCCAAAACACCTCGTCTTGAAACATCAATCTTTGAAAATATTCACTGGATTAACTTTCCAGTGACATTATTTGGCCACAGATGTTTGATTTGACATTACCAAATGTTTGGTTTGCCTTACATTTAAAGGGGTTTTAAAATATAAGTTTGTGTAGAAACCTGGCCAGGAAACCTTGGAGTTGGTTATAGCAATGCACACCAATTTAAAAGCATCCCTTTCGTGAAACTCTATTTAGGGTAGAGCCAATTCCAATGTTAAGAAACTAACATTCACACCCATATGCAAGGGTGTGAATTTTCTTCTAAATGGATTGTTTGCTATTATAGTAGTTACAGTCTTTAATTCAGTGGTATGGGGGATTTCCTGAAATATTGTAGAAATGCATTCTTCCTTCACTGCATTCCTCCTGCAGCTCAAATGACTCTACGCTAGTAAATTGAGATGAAGCCGATGACATATTATGTATCTAGCCTCAATGTCACTCCTTCTAAGAGACTTTCCCCAAATACCCAATCTATACAGTATTCATCTAATGACTTGTTTCATATTGTCTTATTCTAATTCTGTAGCATTTATCCTTGTGGGATGCATTTCTTGCTTCATTTCTGTTTCTTGCTTCTCCTCCTCAAATCTCATTATGTATACTCTATAAGCCTCATGCAGCAGGGATCTGTCTGTGTTATTTGCTACCATGTTCTCTCTTTCTAGAACATTGCCTGGCACACAGTAGGCACTTCATAGAGATTTCTGGAATGAAAAACTTGTGCCTGTACAAACAGATTGAACCAAACCAAAATTACCAGGTTGCCTTGAGTGGGTGAGACATACTAGTGTTTCTGATCAAGGGCAGACTAAATTTATATCATCAAAGTTTATGGTTGGTTTCACTGGAACAGCAGCCTGACAATTTCTGCCCATCACAGATCTTGATTCTTTGTATGTGAATCTGGACTAAGCACAGCTCATCCCAACTGGAACTTAAAATTCAGCACAATTTCTGTCTTGAGACTTAGCCACTTAGCTATCAATGGCAACCACATGCAGCCACTTTAAAGTGAAAAATAAATTCAAAGGGCCAAAAACAATACCTTACGAGCATACTCCCCTGGGTTCATATTTTGAACATGGTCTATAGCTTTATACATCATTTTCTCTCGGAAATCGTTAACTATCTCACGTTCAATAACTCCTGAGTTACTGTGGGCAACCAGGACGTAGGTGCTCTCATCAGCTCTGGCTCGACCACGGGCCTGAGAACATAAAGAAATCAAGTAAAGGAAGGGTTATGCCTTTCTGTGAACTCTCTCATTTTTGGCCTGGAATGGTATTCATTGCTCAGTGTCCCAGCCTTCAAGTAATTTCTCTATTCTCTATAAAGTTAGTTATTATCTATTTTTTGTAAGTCGGTTATTTGAAATTCAAAATGCACTTTAATGAACAATGTTTGAGAGCAATGATGGTTAGGTTACCACCCCAACCCTCAAGACCCTCAATTACACAAGACCATCCTGTCAACCCTTTTTGTTCCCAGGAACCTGCTCTCAACCCTGGGAACCAGCGTCATTGACTTGGACTGGGGAGGCACTCCTCCAGCCTGGTAGGAGATATGGATGGCAAGAAGGAGCGTCTCTGACCTTGACACCAGGGCTGGTGAGAAGGCATTCTGTTCCTGGTAGCAACATTGGATTTTGAGAACATTTCCCCATGAAAACATGCTCAACATGGTGATAAATTTCTATAGTCCCCTTTAGAAATTGATCTTTAGGTACATTTTGAGTAACAGAAAAAATGTTGTGACCTGGCCCAGGAACCTAACTACCAACTATAATATGATCTGTATAAAAATGCATTCAGTGTTGGGGCGCCTGGGTGGCTCAGTTGGTTAAGCGGCTGCCTTCGGCTCAGGTCATGATCCTGGAGTCCCAGGATCGAGTCCCGCATCGGGCTCCCTG